GTTAAACTTCACTTGAACTTTTAGACTAAATGCATTATTTTTAAAGAACATCCTGAAGTTATTTCTCAGTCTAACAGTACTGCAGGCCTGTCACCTACTTCAGTCAAGCAATCCCAACAATGGAAGACACAATCCAGGGCCAGGAAGTACATCTTAGCCTAAAGGGATATCCAAGTCCACCTGGTAGAGATTCAGTACTGTAGTCATAGGATAGCTTCAAATGTGTTGTAGAATAGTGCCCACACCGTCTAAACCTGCAATAATCATCACTATGCAACTCGCTTCCACTCCATATCCTTTGGTTCCCTGCTCCACTCCCTTAGCCAACCACATGCTGTATGGTTTTCTCTTTCCTCATAACACAAACCAAAACTAAGTAAGGTATATTCCTCATGGTGGGGCTCTTTTTATTGTACTCTACTTTGCATGGTCTTCCAGGTGGGTAAATTCCATAAATCATTTTGGAATATGGCAGTAAATACACACATACACACACACACACACACACACACACACACTTCTGGAGCTCTAAGAGTAAAGATTATCTTAACTTTTTCCCTTACAAAGCACACTTTTAGGCAGCCCTTGTCTGTTTGGCATATAAAATGGCTACTTACTGCAATGCGAAGATACCTTCCCCTTTTGTGGGTTAAAAAAAAATACATCTAAGGATATACTACTTTATCTGTGGCTCTGGTTACTAATACTTCCCCATCTGTCATGCAGCTTTTGGCTAATTTACATTTACAGTTTCTAAATGCTTCATACTAGAAAAAAAGTCAAGGATCTGCTTGTGAAACCAGAGAAAGATAAACCATATGCTATGATCTAAATATTAGCAATGCCTTCCCCCATTCATAGCCTGAGGCAACAGTATTAAGTTGTAAGGAGGTATAATCCCTGCTGAATGGACTTGGTAGCGATTATTAAAAGGGGCTGAGGGAGTCAATCCAACCGTTAGCCACGTGAGGGCATTCACCAGACACTAACCTGTGAGAGCCTCCATTCTCAACTCCCCAGACGCTAAAATTTTGAGATATGTGCTTACTGCCCAGTTCACGGCACAGTGATTACAGCATCCCAAATGAATGACAACACTGATTGATCCAAAATGCATAAGAAAAAAATAATAAGCCTAAGAGAAGAAAAACTGATTAACTAGGAAACAAATAGTGGTGAATATTAAGCCAAAGTTAGTTTTTTTCAAATTATTAAAAGGATCAATAAATAAATAAGAAAGAACACAAAATACCACCAGACTCGAAGAAACATAGGTCCCATGGTTTCCCTTATCTGCAATAACTAATACATGTCTAGGACAAGCAGAAGAGGACAAAAGCTATATACTTATGACCATACAACCTGATGCTAAGAGAAATGAACCCAAAGATAGGGACACAAAAGATTTTATCTTTCTTGTTGTTCTTTTTAATGTACATATAATGTACTATGTCATTTTTTTTGTCTCTTTGTATGTTCTTCCCCCACGGTATAACCCCTGTTGTCACTGTATTTGATTCCAGTGTCCTTCATCTTCTATATACATTTTTCTAATTTGGGGAGGGGAAGGGAAATAACAAAATGCTGAAATAAGGATACAGGATGACTCATTGTAACAATGAGATGTACAAGACACTAGTTGAAAATGAACTTTACAACTCTGCAAGGTCGGAGAGGCATTGGGGAGGTGGGGAAGAAAGGGATGGTAGGGGAAAAACAAAGGAGGAGGTAACAATGCTCAATAAGAAATGTATTCATTACCTTGCTCATGTAACTATAACCCCTCTGGACAGCATCTTTACAAAAATATTTTTTTTTAAAAAAAAGAACACAAAATACCAAAGAGCTAAGGATGTAACTCATAAGAACATAAGCCTAGTATGCTGAAAACTCTATGGCTCTATCATTACAAAAACAGGAATGGAAGAGGGAAATCCTACAAATATATTTTTAAAAAAGAGAGAATATTAAGAACAATTGGATGGCAGCAAGTTCAACAACTGAGAAGAAATGGGCTTGACAAAACATAATCTATGTAAACTAATTCAAGATCCACTGAAAATCTATGTAGCCCTGCATCTGTTCTAGAAATAGATTTATTATCGTAAAACTTCAAATCCAAATGTTTCACTAGTGAATTCCAACAAACACTGAAAAAAATGTCAATCTTATATAATCACTTTCAGGAAATAAATGGAATATTTCTCAACTAAGTTTATAAAGAGTTAGTCTTATGGAAAAATAGCACAAAGACGTTAAAGAAAATGATAATAGGGTCATATCTAGTTTCCTTACTTCTTAGAACTCTTATAGCAGATGGCCCTCAGTCTGATCCATGCATATGAATGGAAATTTCCTAAAATTGAAAATATACTAAACCTAAAGTCAAAAATCTGGACAAAGTATCAGCACATATTCTAGTAAACAATTATAAGGCATGGCTATGTAGGGTATATTCCCAAAATTCAAGTCTTAACATTTGAAAAAGAATAAATGTAATTGACCATAGGAAGCAAATAAAGGAAATGACATATACAGATGAAGGAAAAAGAAATGACAACCAGGCACAGAGGCTAATGCCTATAATCCTCGTTACTTAGTAGACAAAGACTAAGAGAATTGCAGTCAGAGACTATCAGGCAATCTCCAGACAACCCAAGGAAAAAGCTGGAAAGACCTATGTTCAACCAATAAAAACTAAGTACAGTGGGCTCATGTCACTTTGCAGAGAGAGTAAACAGCAAGATTTCAGTCTAGGCAAAAAGTGAGACCCTATTAAAAAAATAATACTAACAAAAGTAAAAAGGGTTGTGATGTGGCTCAAGTGGCAGAGCCCCTGCCTATGCAAGCACAGGCTCTGAATTCAAACTTCAATAAAACAAACAATAAAAATCCTATACTAGTTACTATGCTCATCATCACAACCTAATGCAAATTATTTTTCCATTAATAACATATATTGTGTTATAATTGTTAATATAATTGTTTGCCTTTTTGTGTGATATCCCTAAAACTTTGAGCTTATGACTCAAAACTTTTTTTCTACATATATATTTTTAAGTCACAATTTTTTTTTTTAAGAAAAGGAAAGAAAAGGGCTGGGAAGGTGGCTCAGTGGTAGAGTGCTTGCCTCACAAGCATGAGGCCCTGGGTTCGATTCTTCAGCACCACATAAGCAGAAAAAGCCAGAAGTGGTGCTGTGGCTCAAGTGGTAGGGCATTAGCCTTGAGCTGAAGTGCTGAGGGACAGTGCCCAGGCCCAGAGTCCAGCCCCCATGACCAACAAAAAAAATAAAAGAAAGAAAAGAAAAGAAAAAGAAATCCCTACTTAACTAATAAGAAACTAGGTTCAGAGTTTCAATGCAGCAGATGGCTGCCCAACTACATACAGCATTCCCTGTAAGGAAAGGGGTTGTTAGCACAGCCAAGTAACTGATTGCCTTTGTAACTTGTCCACCAGAGGCTGAGAGACTGTCAAGCTGATTCTCCAAGTGTGTATGCTGTTTGGGGCAGCACTGGGGAGGTCCTCAAGCCTACATCTTGTTTCTACTTTCCCAGAGGCTGCTGAATTTCCATCCTCCAGTAATTGTACACAATGGGTCCTTGAGTCCTTTCATCTTTAAGTTGGCCAGAGTTGGTTTCCATTACTTAAGTGCATGAAAAGGGGTAATGTTTGAGTTCTAGAATACAGAACTCTTCGTTAAACCCTCTTAGCCAGCATTTATTGATCACCAACTGTTTGAAAGTTAATATATCAGAGCTGTGATGCCAGGACCAATTTTAACCAAGAATAAGACACAGTAAGGTTTATGATCCTCAATAAATGTTTACTGAATTGATGTTAAATTAGGGAGACCACTGATGATTTCTGGGCGGAAAATGATTATACTACAAATACAGCTTCAGGACTATTCAGTTTTCTGAACATTCTTCTTCTGTTTCTAACTAGACATTAACCAGCACATTTTACAAAAATACAAAGTTTTGTTCCAATGTAAAAATGGTTCAGTGTGTTAAATAATTTCATCCCCTGGTCTGGATCTAATTATCTCAGAACTAACAATTCTACACTCTGCATTATAACTGAGAAACTCAAGCTAAGTGATTTCTTGTTAGTCCTCCAGAGAGGACAACCTAAATTTCACTGAATGAATATTCCTTATAAGACATTCTCCCACACAACTTAGAAAAGCTATAAACTTTGTTTTCTCAACAGAGAAATGACAACGTATGAAGTTTTCCATAAACACCATTACCTAAATTGGGGAACTTAATCATTAAAAAAAAATTAGAAAGCCTGCTACTTTGCTATTTACATGGCCATATGAAGTAATGCTTGTAAAAACTAATTTTTAAAATTAAATGCCATGTTGAAAAAGTCAAGTGAAAAGAAAAAAAAAATGTTACCCAAACTAGCAAAACAAAGATACGCTTTTTCTTTTTCCTTAAAGGAAATAAGAGAGAGAAAACCAAAGAAATCAGCAATAAGTGTACAATAAGTAATTCGCAAGAATCACAACGATGGACTAGGAAAACAGAAAAGGTCTGGGGGTTTATTTCATGCCTCTGTCTGTAGAATAACTAGTGAACTCAAGAAACTTTCAGACTTTTGAAAGCAGAGGGGGGGAAGGGGGAGGGACACAGAGAGACAGAGAGGGGGTGGGGGAGGGAGAGGAAGAGGGAGGGGGAGGGAGAGGAAGAGGGAGAGAGGGAGAGATCCGACAGCTAACTCACCGCGAAGCTCGTGAGCACCTGTTCACAGGTGTGCCCACAGGACCTAGAAGTGCAAGCGTGAGCTTGCAAACGCAGCTTGACCCTAGGTGCGAAAACACCGCGAGCCGAGGCCCCTCCCCCGGGGGAAGCCTGGAAAGAGGGAGAGGAGGTGGGGTGCGGCCTCGGCCCTGGGACCCCCACCCACGCGGGGGTGCGGCCTCGGCCCTGGAACCCCACACGAGCGGCCGCAAACCCCTCCCGCCGCGCGCCGCCCCCGCCGGTACTCACAGCTCGGGTCTCGTACAGAACCAGCTTCTGCACCGAGCTGATGATGGGGGCCGCGGCCGTGGGCATGGCGGGGGCCACAGGGGGCCCCACAAGAGGGCGCTAGGCCGCGGCCCAGGCGGTGGCAGCTGTCGCCCCGCCCCCAAGAGACAGCGAGAAGACACCTCAGATTCTTCAGAACCCTCAAACCCCGCACACCAGCTCCAACTGAGAAACTCGCTCCCCTCACTTAAGCTGCCCAGGCCACCCGCAGGCGCTCAGGCGTTTCCGGATTCCTCGCCCCGCCCTCCGACAAGCCCCGCCCAGGAACGAAGGGGCGGAACTGGAGGGCATACCACTGAGAGCTTAGTGTAGAGAGGCTCTCAAGACCTGCGTACTGCTGAGGAAGGAAGCCGGCGGCGCCATATTTGTTGAGGGCGAGAAAAAAATGCAGGTGGAGAAAAACCTGAGAATTCGTTTTCTAGTTCCGCTCGTCCCGACGGAAAAAAGGGGGGAATATTTAGGATTGGGTTGCTCCTCTTGAAGCAGTTTCCCCTGGTGCAGAATACACCTGTCCCAGGCAGCTCTTTGTCTTCCCTTGCATTCGACTTCTGCCATATATTCAACTTCTGGCAGAAGTTGAATGAATATCTATGTTTATATGTATGTATCTATGTATATAATATATGTATATATTTCTTCCCTTGCATTCAACTTCTGCCATATATAATACATATTACATATTATATATACATACATTCAACTTATATACATTCAACTTCTGGCATATATTATTATATATTACATATAATATGTAATATATGGCAGAAGTTGAATGTATACATATATGAACGTATGTGTGTATATATATATTATATATATATATATATATATATATATATATATTCCCCCCTAGAAACTTGCAATCTGGCTGTCCTTCACTGAGTACTGTGGTTTCTCCCATCCTCCTTTCGTTGCATACTTTATTCTTAGGAGAGTCTTAGTGTATAATGACTATATGATCCAAGACATTTTTCTTAATTATCTCAGTATGGATAAGTTGGAGTTTTCCACGTTTTGTGCGTAAGACTAACCATCTTTAAATTTTAAAATAGGACTGTAGTGCAAAGGGAGAGGAGGGTAGTGGGAGCCATTTAATGTACAGGGACATAAATGGACAACGCATCATCACTTTCCACACTTATGCAAAGAGTCTATAATGCCTATGCATACACAGTTAGATACAACAGCAAATTATTTCGAATAAAAATGCACAATGAAAGGCAGCCCCGCCTGCTGAGGCCCCGCCCTCGGGGAACCTGCGCTCAGCCGGCGGGTTTCCACAGCAACCGCCCAACAGATCCCAGAGCCTGTGCTGGTGGCCGCTGAGGGGTCCGCTGGGGACAGGTGAGTGAAAGAACGCGTTACCCGGTGCCAGGGGGGTGTTGCCCGCCGCCCGGAGGGACTTGTTACTTGACCGGCCTTTGCACAGAATCTCACTTTCTGCAGGGACCCCCCCCACGCCCCTTGCCAGTTACTTTTCTTGCAAGATCATTTTTCTTGCAAGATCTTTTCATGAAACTCCCTGCCCCTCCCCACTCCACCACCCCACTTTTTGTTGAGGTACTGAGGTTTGAGTGCTTATTACGTAAATCCACTTTCAAAGACTAATGTGAGATGTCCTGGAGTGGCGGCTAACCTAACTAAGGGAAAGTATTGGGTTTCCCAGCAATGCCTGTAAACCTCAGAATCCGCCACTAGAGAGGTCTCAACAGCAAAAAGTAATAAACATTTAACAATAATAATAATAATAATACTTTTTGGTTTGCCCGTCCTGGGACTTGAACTTGGCTTCGATGCTGTTCCTGAGCATTTTTCCCCCAAGCTAGCGCGCCACCATTTAAGCCACAAAGCCACTTCCAGCTTTTTCTGTGTAGTATGTTGGAGTTATGAATCTCACACACTTTCCTGTGTGAGCTGGCTTCGAACCAAGATCTCACGTTCTTGAGTAGCCAGGCTTATGAGGCTCAAAACAAAATTTTTTAATTAGCACATAATAAAATGTTATTAGCTGATATGTTGAAGATTCGGAATTGAGAGATTACAAACTTTCTAAAATAAATATATAGTATTGATTCTTTTATAAAAGACCTACTTTGTTACTGATTCACTCTAGCAAATACCATGAATTGAAAACTTAGTTTTTATAGATAAATGTTTAAAATTGTGGCTTATGGGCTTACAAACCTACTTAATAGCTCGGAATAGCAAAACATTTCCGAAAATATTTCTGAATATATTCTTATAAGTGTAAGTATTACAAAGTGAATATGTGTAAAAACTACTTTTGGATTTTTCTACATATATTTAACCAGCATTACCTAAAATGTGAAAATATGCCAGGTGCCAGTGGCTCATCATCTGTAATCCTAGTGCTCAGGAGTCTGAGATCTGAGGCTCCCGGCCGGCTCAGGCAAGAAAACTCATGAGATCCTTGTCTCCATATTACTACCCAAAAAAGTGAACCTATGGCTAGCATCAAACAAAAAAGCTCAGGGAAGGCTTATGCATGAGGCCCTGGGTTCGATTTCTCAGCACCACATAAGCAAAAAAGAAAAAAAACGGAAGTGGCGCTATGGCTCAAGTGGTAGAGCACTAGCCTTGAGCTGAAGAGCTGAGGGATAGTGCCCAGGCCCAGAGTTCAGGCCCACGACCAGACCAAAAAAAAAAAAAAAAAAGCTCAGGGACAGTGTCCAGGTCCTGAGTTCAAGCCCCAGGACCAGCACACAAACGCACAAAAAGAAAAACAACAACAAAAACAGGGCAAATATGACTCCAATAGATTTAGCCAGCATTTTTTCTATTTCTGGTAAAATTTATATACACATATGTACATATAACAGACTTAACTTTAATTTGATCTTCCATACAGGACACATATTAAATGTGCATATTTGTACATATTTTCTTCTTAGTCCTTTGGAAGCATAGTCTTTTGAGCTCTTTTTGATGCAAGACATAGGTTAGATTTTCTCTCTCAGACTAAGGGCCTATTATTATTTTAATAGGTGAATTTAACTTATTTGCAGCTACTGACAAAACCCATGTATTTCATGATATGAAATTGCTTATGAAGTAATACAGCTCTCCCTAGCCTGTCTGCTCCAACCAAATTAGGCATTTAAATAATTTGATTTTTTTCTTATTGTAGTATTGCGTATCATGACTTCTCAAGAGAATACAGAAGAACTGCCTTTTGCAGATATATTTGATGAAGATGAAACTGAAAGGGATTTTTTACTTTCCAAACCTGTTTGCTTTATTATATTTGGGAAACCAGTAAGTTATCTTTTCTCTTATTTATTGTAATTTTATTTTTAATGAAAGTATGTTAATTTGTTGAATATCCAATAGATCTTCATTTGAAATTTAATATAATATTTGTTTAAATTTATAACTTTCTTAAAACTCCAGTTAAAAGGGAAATTGGATTGTATTTATACTAGTTTTTAAATGGAAATTTTAACATATCAGAACATTGCACAAGGATACCAACAGTTTGAAATCTAAAGTGACATCAGACAAATTTCATCTAAGACTTTCTTAGAAATTCGCTGTGAATCTGGATTTTCGAAGACATGACACTATTAAGATGAGTTGTTTCTATTAATATCTGAAGACACTGTGGGGAACCCTCAGTCTTAACTTACTGTACACTAGAGGACCAAGTATATTATTTTTCTAAAAACAGGGAAAAATCAACAGTTAACAGAATGATTACTTTTCTAGACAGTTCTAATAAAGACCCCTAGGTAAAAGCCATTTTCAACCACTAACCTAGTTAATCATTACCATTACAGGACTGAGTTGGTTATTTCAAAACCTTCTCCAGAAGAGTAAGGATCAAGAGTTGCATCCCATCCTTAATTTTATAAGAAGCCTGAGACTGATAGCAAGGAATATTTCCAACGATTTTCACTGTGATTCTAAACACAACATACTGTTTTGTTTTTGTTGTTGTTGGCAGAAACAAGGGTTTGAACTTAGGGTCTTGTGCTTGCTCAGTTTGCTTACTTGCTTAGTGCTCTATCTCTTGAGCCACACTTTTGCCATGCCTTTTAAAAAGCTGGTTATTTTGGAGATGAGTCCAGAGAACAGTTTCTACCAATGTTGGCTTTGAACTACAATCCTCCAGATTTCAGCCTACTGTGTAGCTAGGATTACAGGTGTGAGCCACCAGCACCTTTCTCATAATACTATTTAAAAAGCCAACTTTGAAAGTAACTAGATGCAAATGTTACTTCATAAAAATGACATTTATTTTTTAAGTATGATGTGAAACAAAGGTATTGTTAAGAAAGGTTTATTTGCTCTTGAAAATTATTAAATATATGTCTTTCAAAACACTCATTTTCTTTTTAGAAAAAAAGAAAATGATAAATATCAATATATTTTTCAATCACAATCAGACTTAAAATTTTGGCAATCAAAAATAATTGGCAATCAAAGGAATGAAATATCATAATGGTATAGTTTCATGATTTGGGGTATAACACTCCTGATTTTATCAATTTTAATTTTTTTTATTCAGCTCACATCAGGAGGTGTAAGCAAGAATTGGAGAAAATAAAGTGCTAACTATATAGGGTTTACTTTCACTTTTATGGGAAAACGGTCATATATAATAACCATCATCAGATGGGATATGTACTTCCCTAAAAAATTACTGTTCTACTCGATTTTAATTGACATTTCTCTTTTTAAGGGAGTTGGCAAGACAACCTTAGCTCAACACTTGGCCCAGGCATGGAAATGTATTCGTGTTGAAGGTAAGTATTTCATCTTTTCCTCTCAAACTTTTATTATGAAAACCTTCAAATCTGCATAAAATGGAAATGATTGTGCAGTGAATAACCATCTACCCAAGTTCTCACCACCTAGAGCACTGAATTAACACTGTGTCATATTTGTTTTATCAGAGCTCTCTATCAACCCTATGAATATTAATTAACCTTTTTTTTGTTTCTTTCTTGTTTTTTAATTGTGAAAATACTGTGCTGAGGGGTTACAATTACATGGGCAAGATAGTTAATTAACCTTTTAAAAGCATCAGTGCAATCAGGTTTTGCTCGTCTTTTTTTTTTTTTTTGGCGGGAGGAGAGGGAGTGGGGGGGAGGGGAGTTTGCAGGGCTTGAACTCAGAACCTGGGTGCTGTTTCTGAGCCTCTTTGTGCTCAAGGTTAATTCTCTACCACTTGAGTCACAGCACCACTTCCAGTTTTTGAGTGGTTAATTGGAGTTGAGTCTCCTGGGGACTTTTCTGCACCAGCTGGCTTCAAATCACAATCCTCAGATCTCAGCCTCCTAAATAGCTAGGATTACAAATGTAAGCCACCAGCATCCAGCTGTTTTGCTCATATTTTAGTCCTACTTTTGTTCATAGAATTTAGGAATGTTTATTTAACATCCCTGATTCCATAATTACTGGCTCCAATTCTCTGATTTTGTAATTTAGAACTATGGTGTGTGTGTGTGTGTGTGTGGTGTGTGTGTGTGTGTGTGTGTGTGTGTGTGTTGAGTCTTACCAAAGATGAGAGGGACTTTCATTGCTTTTCTTGGGAAGATTTTCCAAAATTTAATTATCTTCAGTAATACATGGTACCTTTTATTTGTAAATTTCTTTCTATGCAACATATATAAGGCAACATGTTGTACATACATGCATGCATATGTACATATGTATATGTGTGCATACACATAATATTCACTACTTTAAATCAGTAAGGTTATTTCCTAATAGAAAATAAAGAATGAAAAAATCATAAAAGTAGAAATAACTAATACAAGGGCTGGGAATGTGGCTTGGTGGTAGAGTGAATTCTGGACCTGGGAGCTGTCCCTGAGCCCTTTTGCTCAAGGATAGAGCTGTATCACTTTGAGCCACAGTGCCATTTCCTCTTTTTAATATCAGTTTTGGGGCTTGAACTCAGAGCCTGGGCACTGTCCCTGAGCTTCTTTTGCTCAAGGAGAACACTCTATCATTTGAGCCATAGCGCCACTTCTGGCTTTTTCTGTGTATGTGATACTGAGGAATCAAACCCAGGGTTCCATGCATGATAGGCAAGCACTAAGCCACATTCCCAGCCCCCATTTTTTTTTTTGAGAGGTTAGTTGGAGATAAGACTCTCACAGTACTTTTCTGCTCAAGCTGGCTTCAAACCTTAGTTCTCAGAGCTCAGCCTCCTGAGTAGCTAGGATTACAGTTGTGATCATTTTATTGTTATTTAATGTGTATTTTTTGTACTGTTAGTATAACTGGTTATAAAAGGATCTGCACTACTAATACAAGTATATACTTCACAGGCTATTTTGCAATTTACAAATCACTGTCATATATACTTCAATTTATCCTATATTATGCAGAGCACATATTTTCAAGCAACAGAGATGTTTAGGGTGGTAACTCTACCAAGAGTCTTCAGCTAGTGGAATGACAGAAACAAGTTTTCTATGCAGCACCTACTTTGTTTAGGCTTAAATAACACTAATACACAAAAAAAGAAGTAATATACAAATGTTCATCTTTGCTCTTAATTATAAGACTCGGGACATGTTCCTTATTTTCCAATTCCAATTCAGTTTATGTTCATGTTTTTAATTCATGCTTTAGCTTTACCAGTATTAGAAGAACACATTGCTGGTGAAACGGAATCAGGAATTATGGTGAGCAAATCTAAATTTTTAAAATTACCACAATTAGGAAACAAAAGCTCTCTCTCCCAGATCTACCACGCAGTAATGTACAATGTCTGTGCTTATTCTTAGTTGCAATCGATGCTAGTCAGCGGCTACAGCATTCCAGATGAAATTGTCATAAAGCTAATGATAGAGAAGCTCAACTCCACAGAAGTCTCTCATTTTGGTATGTGGTATGTTCATTATCACATCAGAGATATCTACTACAGAGATCATTATCACATCATTATCATATCAGAGATAACTACTGAGATGCCTCTTCCTTGTGCCTTCCAACTAAAATATCAGTTGCATTGTCAGTTGAGTTTAGATGATTTGTTTGTTGATTTGCTTTATAATCCAGAGTCCACTTGTGCTCAAAAGGGAAACTTAAATTTATGTGATCCAATCTTACTTAGCATTGTGTTATCTGATGAAAGCCTTAAAAATGTTTGGCATCCATCTTGCATTGCTTGCAGCCTCTGTTGCCTGCTTCTGCCTTCAGTTAACACTGAGTCTTGTTGATGATTTGGTTTCTCTGCATTAATTCTCAATTGTAAGATTACAATGCCACCAACTTGCCTCTACCTCAGATATTGACAGACTTCAGCCCTCTCATTCAGTCCACTTTCTACTTTGGACTCGAAAAGTCTTCCTCTACTCAAATAGATGCTAAGAAAGAGCTGTGGATATATAATTTTGCCATACAAAGATCACTGAAGTCTGACTCAAAGAAAATGACTCTTAAGACATTTTTAAAAGAAAGGAAGAAGTATAAATATGGACCTTGGGAGAAAATCATCCACCTGATTTGTGGAATTTTGTAATCTTTCCTTTTATTACTTCTATGGCCCATTGGTCAGTCAAAAATATATTATTTAGTCTCCATGTGCTTGAACATTTCTGTAGTCTGTCTTGCTGTCGATTTTATTCTCTTTTTATTCTCTCTTTAATTTTATTCTCTTTCAGTCTGATCTATAGCAGAAGTTATTTCAGTTTTCTTGTACTATTTGAGAATTGCTTTATGTCCTAAAATACGATCTATTTTGAAGAAAGTTCCACGAGTTTTTGGATGGATACTCTGCAGATGTTTGTGAAGTTCATTTAATTGGTAGAGCCATTTAATTCTGAAGTTTTGGGGTTTTTTTTCTGGATAATCCATTGCGTAAAATAGACACTATTGCTCTACGGGGTCTACTCATCCTTTTTAGTATTTGTTTTATGAAAGTGAGCACACCAATTTGTATATGTTTACCATGCCCTTTGCTGTCTGAGCTCTCTGCTGTTTAAACTTTTCAGCAGATCCGTGTGAGACCCTCTTTTTCTCCACAGTCACTTCTAGTTTTCTTTGTCTCTCTCTTTAAATGTTATTCTTTGTTGAAGAAACTGGTTAACTGTGTGTAGTTTATACATTCTGAGTTTGACTAATGGCATATATATTCCTATGCCCTTAGTATTCACTGTACACTGGTATCTTCCCTGTGAGCTGGCACTGCAAAATGGTAGAAATGATATCTTAAGTCTGAGGGTCACATTTTCAATGTGCCCATTCTGTAGGATGCACAACTGGTTCGTTAAAGGTTGAAGTGGAGACAGGGTTTGGATTCCTTTCTTCCTAGTCTCTCCTACCCATCCCATAGCATTTCCAAAGGAGTTTTGGGGTTGTTGTTGTTGTTTTTTAACACTATCACCTTGCTAAACACAGTTTGAAAACCTGTGCTCAAATTCCCATGATAGATTTGATATTTGGTCTTAGCAAGATCAAAATTTTTGGTCTTAGCAAATAGGCTGGTTGATGTGACTGAAGTTAAATAAAGGGTTTGGTTTTTTTTGCCAGTCATGGAGCCTGAACTCTGGGCCTGGGTGCTGTCCCTCAGCTCTTCAGCTCAAGGCTAGTGCTCTACCACTAGAGCCACAGCACCACTTCTGGCTTTTTCTGCTTTATGTGATGCAGAGGAATGGAACCTAGGGCCTCATGCATGCAAGGCAAGCACTCTACCACTGAGCCACTTTCCCAGGCCGAGTTAAAGGTATTTTAAACTGGGGTACTGAGTCAGAGGTGAAGTGAGGCTGAATGAAACTGAAATCCTTAAAGAGAGATATATGTTTCTAGGCGCACTGTACAGTGTTACCAGTCAATCTTTTTTTTTTTCTGTACCAAAGCCCATTTATTCTTTGAGACTGTCATTAAGAAGGATCTACACAGCCTTTTCACTTACAATCCATTGTGCTATTTTGGCCTTTAAAAAAAATCAATTTCTGGAAACCATATGTTCACCTAAGAAGAGAAGACAGAATGAGTGCCTGGGCATGCAGACTCCCTGTTCTGTTTTTCCTACAGAATTCTGGAAACACTCATTTTCCTCAGTGAATGATGGACAGCCTTGGGCTAGGTCCCTCCGACACCCAGATGTATCTTATTGTGAATGGTTCTTACAAGTCAATAGTCACCAGTATACTCATGTCAGATTGGCCTGAAGTCTGATAGGTACCAGGTCTGGCTGGGCACAAAGCTACCTAACATACTTATCACCTTGATCTGAAAGCAATAACCCTTTACTTACAGTTTTAGAGAAATAACGAATGCCTCTTCCTTCTTACTGTGCCAAGAAATAGAGTCAAAGTAAGAGCGTGATCTGGACCAGTTGATAACTACTGAGTAGGAATCTGGACAGTTTTTCAGTTTTCTAGTGGTTGGGGTGATGATAGGCTGGACCATGACCTACAAAGTACTACTCTGCCTAGGCTAGTGTGCACAGTCTCCCAGTAAGGACTTGTACCAGGCCCCCCGCCATTCCTTTATCTTCACAGGAGATAATGGTCTCAAAAGGTTTTGATAATGGTCTCAAAAAATGACATGGAACAGTAATGAATTCCTTATCTATGTTTCCATCCTCACACATTTCTGGAATTGGAGAAGTACTTATTGAAGATTGCTTATGACTGGATACAAGTTTCCAAAATTCAAATTTTCACTTAAATTGTACTATCAGCTGTTGTCTTTAAAGTGACAGGCTCAAGCTGGGAATGTGGCTTAGTGGTAGAGTGCTTTTCTTGCATACATGAAGTCCTGGGTTCAATTCCTCAGTACCACATGAACAGAAAAAGCCAGAAGTGGTACTGTGGTTTAAATGTTAGAGTACTCGCCTTGAGCAAAATAAGCTCAGGGACAGTGCCCAGGCTGTGAGTTCAAGCCACAGGACTGGCAAAAAATAAAAAATAAAGTGACAGGCCTACTTCATTTATTTTTTTTTAATGAACACCTTCTCAAACAGCCAAGCCATGGTAATAACATAGTTTGTCAATTGTCTTTCCAAGAAAATAAATGTTCTATAAAAATAGCAGAAAAATACATTAAAGGTCTTTAATTCCCACAGTAAGAAAGTATCAAAATAATAATAATCATTATTACTTTGTTGTAAAAGTACTGTACAGAGGAGTTATAGTTACATAAGTAAGGTAATGAGTACATTTCTTGTTGAATATTGTTTCCCACTCCTATGTCTTTCTCCCACTATCCCTTCTCCTCCCCCCACCTCCCTGCCAAAGTTGTACAGTTCATTTCCAACATAGTGTCTTGTGAGTATTATTGTTGTATTGGGTCATCCTGTGTCCTTGTTTCACCATTTTTTTGTTATTCCCCAAATAAGATAAAAATGTATACAAGATTCAGGGTATTAGAACAGTGATAAACCAAAGGGAAAAAGAGAAAAGAAATAAAAATAAATACAGTGATAACAACATGATCAACAACCAAAAAATAAAAGGTATCAAAATTAAAGGAATATATTGAGAAAATTAATATAAGGATGAATTTGCGTAGGAGATTTTGGCTTCTAGGTCGGAATGCAAGCCATTAAATGTGCTGAGGCAAAAATCATATGGTTAGTACATGGGCGTTTTATTACTCTTGTTAACTGACATAAATATTACATGTATTCTATCATGAAATTATATGAAGTGGAACTTTTATAATATGCCTATCATTCATCATATGGGTTAAAAGAATTACATTAACTTCTCTTCCTGAGGACCTCATCTGTCTAAAATAAATTGAATATGGAATTTCTAAAGATGTCTTTTCTCACCCCAATGAAATTTATTATCAGCAAAACATTGTTCATAGTTTTCCTTCATGTGGCAACTGTTAATTTAAAATTTCTAACACAGTTTCACGGTCTTTATCAATGTTCATTACTAACTAGATAATAGTTCATAAAGTAATAATAAAATAAATCTATGTTCTCAGATACCAATAGTGTTATAAATTACAGAAACTATAATTTATTCTACAGGCTACGTTATCACAGAAATCCCAACACTGGCGCAGGATTCTATATCTACTTTGCAGCAAATGGAATTAGTTAAAAATTTAAAAATGAAACCTGATATAATAATCAATATTAAGGTAAGGATATTAGTTATTTTTCTAGCATATAAAACCTTTCTTTTTTATAGTACTTAAAATCAAGGAATAATTTCAATTTTTTAAAATAGTAATGGAGGCAGTAATTTATGCATCAACCATGGAGACTGTTATATTTTTTTCATATTTCTACACTTTTACACCTGCAGTTCTATCCACATGAAATACTTCCTTACTTGTTTCACCAAGCTTCACCGTAGCTATTGTTTGAAATTTAGTTCAGACATCCTCTCATCAGAACTTTCCATGGAAACCTCCTGCCCACTTCTCTCTCTTCTTCCCCATCCCACCTAACCACAGAAGAGCTAAATGCTGCTTCTCTGAAGATCATTCATGTTACATTCTTCTCTCTTATCACTCACATCACTAATATTGTCCATTTTCTTCCTAAACTTTGTTACTTAAACGTAGAAACTATGACTTAACTCATTATCAACTACCAGCCTGCAGGGTAACTAGTGACTAATACATTTACCAGTTAAATAAATCGAAAGAAAAATTATTCTGGGACAGAAATGTTAAAGAAAGCTGTATGGAGCTGAGGCTGGGTCTTTTATTATCTATTAGAATCTGATCACATTTAGAAACCTCTGTTTCCTCTACAAAGATGAGAATAGTTGCTGAGTTTGTGCTAGGAATTCAGTAAGGAAATGTCGAGTTGTGTGAAAAAGAATGAATAGTTTTAACATTCAGACCCTACCTTGTTCTCTCAGAGGGTTTATGAAAGCTCATAATATATCAGACATTTCTCAGCTCAGATGCTGATGACCATTAGAATGTGACAGTCAGCTATGAGAAAGAAGAGACCTTGTAGTGCTGAGTAGGTGAGAATCTGTAGCTCCAACCACACTGCCCATAACCAGGAACCAATCCAAATCCTGAGCAAACTTGAGGATTTCACACATAAAAGAATGTGTTCCTAATTGAAAGAGAAGATTATCTCAATTAACTTGAGACCAAATATAAAGTCGAAGTCGAGGAAAATATAGATTAAATAAATAAAAAATCTTAGACTAAAATCCCTAAATACTTATTAAATTTGAATCCAAACTGTGTTATAATATGACTGGTTTTATCAAAACATTTTCAGTGCAAAGGCAAGCCATACCTCTAGAAAAACTAAACTCCCATTAGAAATGAGAGGAATATGAGACTGCTTGATGTAATGAATGAAAGTCCTTCAAACATTCATGTCAGAAATGGGCTAGTGAGAATGCTGTGCTGTTTCACTGTGCTTGCAGCGTTCCAATGCAATCAGAGAAGTTGGGTAAGACACAGCCCAGTGAAATACACATTTCTCTAATGGTTTGGCTTTATTTGTGAGAAAAGCCTGGAATTTCCAGAGCAGAATTTCTTAGTGTGGGCTCTTTGAAAACTTGAGCATCCATAAGTCCCCTGAAATTATATACAAAATTTCTGGCATATTTGTATTTTTAAGAAATCATATCTCCTATCCACATTGAGATGGTATGAAGAATCACAAAATGAACAAGGAAAGTTCCTCCATTGCTCATTTCACAAAATTGATTGTCATCAGAATCACTAAGAATGTTTGTTTAGTTTTCTGTTTTGGGGTTTGAGAAGGGTTTATTTCTGTTTTTGAGACTGGATCTCACTATGTAGCCAAGCTGACCTTAAATTTAGGATGCTATGTCTCAGCTTCTTCAATTCTGAGATTATAGATATGTGCCACCACACTCAGAATGCTTTTGTGTGTGTGTGTGTGTGTGTGTGTGTGTGTGTGTTGTATGTGCCCGCGCATGTGCATGCACGTGTGTATGCCCGTGTCAATCCTAGGACATAAACTCAGGACCTAGGTGCTGTCTCTTAGATTTTTAAGGCTAGCACTCTACCACTTGAGCCACAGCTCCACTCTAACATCTAGTATTTAAATGCAGAGATAAATGGGCTTTCCTGCCTGGGCTGGCTTTTAATCTTGATCCTCAGATCTCTGCCTCCTGTGTAACTAGGATTACAAGTGTGAGCTATAAGTGCTTAGTGCAGGATGCTTTTTAAATAGCTAAGGTATCCAATCTTAATAAACTACAAAGAGAGCAGAAATTTCTAACAAGCTCTCCTGATGAGTAATATACATTTGTACCCTAACTGCCATAAAGTATCATCCAGTGTATTTAATACTACAAAACAGCATTTATGCCCCAAAGCATTTTTATTAATTAATACAGTGCCCAGAGAGTACAGGCATAGATCAGAAGGCCTCTATATGATATTGTGGTCTCCTAACTGGCTTTAGTCACAACATTAGATTTCTTATTTTTAAAGGATTAGTTGTAAATTGAATGAAATTGGATGTAAGAGTGCACTTCAAGACAAGAAATTTGTAGACTTTAGTTTTGTCTTTCCTTACTATAGGGACTCAATTTCTTATTTCTAAAAGTTAAAGGTTATATTTTTAGATAGATGACTTTTCAGGTCCTATTCCTGACAGACATTTTATGAAGTACTTTGCCAAGAAATCTATAAAGAATAAAAATTTGCAAATAGACAAGATTAATATTTTGTTGGAAATATGGATATTCCCCATTTTCCTTCATTCCTAGCTTTATACATGTTAGAATCCTCATGGAAAGGTTATTGGCTAAACTGATTTCCTGTTCTCTTTTTCTACTCCTTCTCCCATTCTTCGAACAGAATGAATTCTTTCTTCAACTTACAATGTCCATTTTCTCATATAAATTTCAGACAAAAATGTTGGCATGGCACAAAAGTTGTATATTATTCCTTCTTTAGTATTTTATAAAATCTGATCAAATTGCCTGTCACGACATTGCACATGCTCAAGTTTAAAGAAAATTTTGGTTTATCTATTGCATAATATGTAAATGGGAAATAAAAGTATATTCAAAATGTAAATAATGTAATAATGTTGTTCCTTAGTGCCCTGACTATGATTTATGCCAAAGAACTACTGGGCAAAGACAACACAATATTACAGGACATATATATACTAGAGAGCAGTGGGACCCTGAAATCATTGAAAGCCATAGGAAAAAGAAGAAAGAGACCCCAAAAGAAGGAAAAGCTGAAGAGGAAGAAGAAGAAGAAGAGCAAGAAGAAGAAGAGGTATTATCCCAATAGGTCAAACCAAATACTACACTTTTCAAATCCACTGTAACTAATTTAAATGGCAATATGAATAAGAGCAGGTACTAGCAGAAGAAATCCAAGGTCACTCTTTTGTTTCCATAGAGGACATGAAACAGCAATCAAGGCCATGTTTGTTTGTGTGTGTGTGTGTGTGTGTGTGTGTGTGTGTGTGTGTTGTTACTGTTGTTGTTTTTATCAGTCATGAAGCTTGAATTCAGGACCTGAACTCTGTCCATGAGCTTTTTTGCTCAAGACTAGCACTTTGAGCCATAGCTCCACTTCCAGTTTTTAGGTGGTTAATTAGAGATAAGAGTCTCATGGACTTTCTTGTCCTAGTTGGCTCTGAACTGTGATCCTCAGAACTCCAGCCTCCTTAGTAACTAAGACCGCAGATATGAGCCACCATCACCCAGCCCAAGGCTATTTCTATAGGATTTAACTTTGTCATTTTATTTCAGTAAGTATTAATAGTTTGTTTTGTCATACTGCTTGCTTCCTCACTATGGGTTAAATAAATGTTTAATATATTCTTTCATTTAAAATTGTTAACATAAGCCAGGCACTGCTGTCTCGTGCCTGTAATCCTAGCTACGCAGGAGGCTGAAATCTGAGGACTGAGGTCCAGAAAGTCTGAGACTCTTATCTCCAATTAATCACCAAAAAAGCTAAAAGAAGAGCTGGGGCTCAAATGGTAGAGTACTAACCTTGAGCAAAAATGATCAGGGAGAGAACCAAGGCTGAGTTCCAGACCCAGGACCAGCAGATAAACAGATAGATGATAGATTGATTGATTGATAGATTGATTGATTGATAGATAGATAGATAGATAGATAGATAGAGTGTAGATATCTCTCATTAATTATCCTTACACGGTGTACAAAGCTAGAGACTCAGCCACACCAGCTTCCTAGCTAGCCTTCACATATCCACTTAACGCATACTGTTCTCATATCCTTGGACTGTTTTTCCCTTCCTTCTGTTTCTTTCCTTCTTTCCAGTTTCAATTCAAATGTCACTCATTCAGAAAACCCTTTTATGATCTCCTGGTATAAAAATAGAATCTTCTCCCATTACTCTCACCTTTATTGTTCTTCCTCATACTTAGCCACCACCTAATACGCATATCATATATTTGTCTAGTTGTTGATGCTGTCTTCCTAACGGCAATGTAAGCTCTATGAGCTTTGTGTTCATGTTTGATCCCAGGCTCCTAGAACAGTACTGGGGAGAAGGTAGGGACTCAATAACATTTACTGAATAAGGAATGAAAGTGTGAACTCTAAGTTCAGGTATTCAAAGAAACTCCAACAACTTTGTCTTTCAAAAAAAAATAAGATCTAATATTTTTTCTCCACCTTTCCTAATTTGTTGGAAAGCAAATAATAAGTATCCATATCAACTTAAAACTTTGTTTTGTCTAATAAAAACTCATAGCTCAATCTATCTTAAATATTCACTGTCTGAGCTTCTTCCTTTTGCATCTTACCATAAAATGTCTTTTAGACATAGGAGGGAGGAATGTGACCTATAAAGTGGATAATCATTGAACTAAAGATAACGTCTCTTTTTCCCCCCACTTAGACATTTCTTGCTGAAATGCAGGTGGTAGCTGAAATTCTCCACCATCTAATTCAAAGGCCCGAGGATTACTTGGAAAATGCCAAAGAAGTTATCAGACTTTATAAGGAAACAGTTCTTCATACATTAGAAGTAAGAACAAGATAGCTTTCTTTTAAAAAGTGGAATGGAGCTGTTTGTAGTTTATCTATAGAGAAATCATTTTCACGTCTTCATCTCTGTTGACTGTTGGTTGGATTCTTCTCTTAAACTTGGTTGAAAACTTTACAAAAAGGTTTCCATCCCAAAGGCTCTTTTCCACAGCCATATGATTTTATTCTTAGAAGGTAACTCAGTTGGGGAAAAGTGACAAATTAACTGCAATTTAAAAACGTTACTAGGGGACCTCAGGTAATGGTTTGGGGTAGAAAATGTATGTTAAGAGACTATCTTGCCAACAAGTTAACTTTAAGTATCTCGTCTCAGTGCAGTAAGATTCTGATTTGTGTATTCAATTTTCCCAGTGATTTCAGATTAAAATTATGTTGTTACCTGTAGGAAACAATGGCTGAACACAATCCTCAGTATCTTGTTGAGCTAGATGGAAATAGAACACCAGAGGAGCTCTTCACAGTGAGTACAAGCTCAATGAGAATATCTCATGATTGGAGAATTTAGAACTTTTGACAGCATTACATTTACATTAATACACAAAAATATATTTACAGTTTGGTACTATACATTTTGAAATTTTTGTCTTAACACATTAACATTCAATTTGATATTTGTTTGTGTTCACATGTATATCAAAATTACATTGCAATTTAGAATTACATTATGAAGCCAGGTGCTGGTGGCTCATGAGTATAATCCTAGCTACTCAGGAGGCTGAGATCTGAGGATTGAGGTTCAAAGTCAGCCTGACAAGGCAAGTCCATGAGATTTTACCTCCAATACTACTAAAACAGCAGAAGTGGAGCTGTAGTTCAAGTGGTAGAGCACTAGCCTTAAACAAAACACCCCAGGCCTGAGTTCAAGCACCCCCCCGCCAAATACATTATGACATAAAATGCCTCAAAGAAAAGCAAAAGCAAATGCAACCAATAAATGCATAAGATCATCAGTCATTAGAAAAATGCAAATCAAAACCAGAACACAATACTATTTTATTGCAAGTTTACTTGCTTGAAATAAAAATAATTTGGTTCTTTTGTTTTCTGCTGTTGTTTTTATCTTAGTGTACTGTATGCAGTTAATTCTTTTTTCTTTCATTTTCCCCCTTCAGTTTACCCCCTGTTGTCACTGGTTTTTGCTTTTGGTACTCTTTGTATTGTATATAAGTTTATCTGATTTGGGGATGGGAAGGGGAATGGTGAGACAAAAGATAAAGGATGAACCAGCCAAAGCAACGGTGATACTCACAAGAGATTATGTTGGATATGAACTTTACAGGTTGGTGGGGAGGGCAGTTAGCAGGGAAGGAAAGCAGGAGAAAATGAGGGAGGGAGTAACACTGTTAGAAAAGAACTGTACTCATTACCTTACTTATGTAACTGTAACCCCTCTGTACATCACCACCTTTACAATTAAAAAAAATGTTTCTAGAATCAAAAAAACAAGAGAATCAAAATTAGTAATAATAAAAAATGAAAAAAGTGCTATTGCACACCCACTAAGATAGTCAAAGTTTAAAACATAACAACAACAAGACAATAGCAAGTGTTAGTAAGAGAATGTGGAGAAATCAAAACCCAAAAGCATATATATAGGAACAATTTCTTAAATATCTAATAAATACTTAGCATTATGATATGCTTTAGAGATACAGATGGAAAGGAGGCAGATGAGCCTATGGATTCCTCTCCTTTTTGTCATTGTGAACATGCTATTGTAGTAGCTCATAACAGAAGGAAAAATCTGCTAAGGAGGGGGCACCTGTCTGAAATTTCTTAGATCACGAGTACTAATTAGTCCTTGAAGGCTAAGGGAGAGGTGTTGACAATGCAATGTTCTATGCTGAGGCTAGTGTCTGTGTAAAGGTGCCAGAGGTAAGAAAGGGAAGAACATAGGACTGGAAGATAGGAGGACAAAATAGAGTAAACTTGCACCACAATTCTAGAACTAAACAGAGGCTGTACCATGAAAGACCTGTGAATCATGTTCAGGAGTTTAGACCTCATTGTAAGGGAAAAAGGAATGGTGAACAAGTAACTCAATAAACCAGCTAGGCGCCAGTGGCTCACACCTGTAATTCTAGCTACTCAGGAGGGTGAGATCTGAAGATCATAGTTCAAAACCAGCCAGAATTATCCATGAAACCCATATCTCCAATTAGCCACCAAGAAACTGGAAGTAGCTCTGTGGCTCAAAGTAGTAGAGCACTAGACTTGAGCAAAAGAGCTCAGGGACAGTGTTTAGTTGAAACCCTACAACTGACATCATCATCATCATCATCATCATCATCATACAGTCTACCACAGACTGCCACATATCATCTGTATTTTGCCTGTCTTACTATCTTTCATATTCTTTGTGTTTATTTTTTCCAGATATTCCATAGAGTAGCTATATGTCTCCTAAATTATAACATAGACCTACACCTACGTAGCTTAAAATATCGGCAATGTAGTAGTCTTTTATCATTCCAAAGGACAGAAATCTAGAATCAAGGTGTTGTAGGGACGATGTTCCCTCCATAGCTTCTCAATGAGCCTTGTCTCTTCTAGCTTTTAATAGATCCAGGCATTTCATGGCTTGTGAGAGCATAACTCTAGTACTGCATCTGCCTCCAGCTTCATATGGATTTCTTCCCTTTGCCCAACGGGACCAGAAGGAAGAAACGTGTATGGGTTGAAATGTGTCCTTTAAGAGATGCATTGAAGTCCTAGATTCAATACCTGTCCAATGTGACTTTATTTGGAAATAAGGTCTTATATCCCCATTGTGACATCATATCCTGGTTGTGAACTCACATACCCATTGTGACCTCATGTTCTCTGGGCCCTCATATGGCCATTGTGACATTGCAGGTCCATGGTGACTTCATAGCCTCATTGTGCCCTCATATCACCACTGTGACATCCCAACCTGATGGCGACCTCTTCACCATTGTGCCTTTATATCACCATTTTGACATCATACACCCATTGTGACCTCATATCGTCATTGTGAACTCACATCCCTATTATGACTTCATGTTCCCTAGGCCTTCGTATCACCATGGTGATATCCCAGACCTATTGTTAGTTCATACCATTGTGACTTCATGCCCAGTGACAATATGAGGGCATGGTAGCCATGAGGTCAAAATGGCAATATGAGGGCAAAATGGTCTTTGTACATGTAATGAAGTTACAATAACATCTTATTTAATTAGGATGTGTCCCAGTCCAATATAAATTCAAAAAGACTAAAATATATGAACAAAGGTGGCTATCGGATAGTAGGGACATTGGAGTGATACATATACAAGTCAAGAAACAGCAATGATGGCCAGTAAAACACAGAAAAGCTAGGAAGAAGTAGCCAGGATTCTACTCAGTCCCACAAGCATAAACTTGAGCCATGGGTCCATCACTTTTGAAAATGTTTGAGATATCCAAATGCCCATGAATTCTTCAAATATTTGTTCTTTTTATTTAGACAGTTTTAGAGCGACTGAAGTACCTGAACCTAAGAAGAGCAGGTGTTTTAACCAAACTTCAGAGTTCAGAGGAGGAAATGACTGACATGATGGAAACTGTAAGCCTCATTTATCGATTTGAACATGTACACATTGTACCATAAGTTTGTAAATTCTTAGGTCTAAAAGGAAAATCAGGCTACCTTTCTCGTAAAAGACATCTTCTGAAGAGAAGCTACAATATAAGCACAATATTCTTTTAGACACTAACCACAAAAAGAACCCAAAACTTTTGAGACAAACAAGTAAAATCAGAACAGTTAACCAAAGGAATAACAGAAGGAAAAGAAATCTAAGTTCAGATGAAAATTCTAATAACACCAAAGAAAGCAAAGGCATTGAAACTCTCTATTCTGTAAGCACTAATGTGTCCCTTCCATCATTCAATCTTGTTAACTACTTTGTTGCTGGCACTGCTGTGTCATGAATGTGATGGTGATCAAATGATAACTACTAGGGTATAAACTCAGGGCCTTGTGCTTGCTAGATTAGTGCTGCACTACTAGCGCCACTCCCCCAGTTCTTTTTTGCTTTTAGCTTTCTGGTAGGGTCTTGCATTTGTGCTCAGCTTTAGACACAACCCATAGCCTCTGGCATAGCTGGGTTAATAGGTTAGTGTATTGAGGTTCAGTCTCCCTAACATTTGCTCTGGTTGATCTTGAACTGCTATCCTCCAATCTCTACTTCCTGAGTAGCAGAGATTACAGGCACAAGCCACAGTGCCCAGCTACAATAAGAACTTGTAATTGGGGATTTTGATTTGTTCTAAGAAGATTGTTTTTATCTACGTAAATAAAATAACAATGAAGGAAGGGAGGCAGGAAGGCAAGGAGGCAGAAAGGAAAAGATGAAGGAAGGGAGAGAAGAAAAGAGGGAGGGAAGGAGACAGGAAAGAAAAGAGGGAAGAGGTGACACTGTTCAAAAAGAAATTACCGGACTTATGTAACTGTAACCTCTGTATATCACCTTACAATAACAATAAAATAAAAATTAAATTAAAAAAATAAAGAAGGACCAGACCAGCATTATCATTCAAGTAAAATAATACTTGGAGAGAGATCATTATGTAATCCATATTGTTTAATCTATAGAATGTACTTAATACATTGAATTGAACACGTAAAGATGGTTAAAAGGGTAAAGTCTATGTTTTGTGTATTTTATCACAATAAAAATAATTTTGAAAAATACCTCCTCCCTAGAAGATTCCTCTGTAGCCAGGGAAGGAGCAGTACTAAGGATTGGGCAAGAGTTGTGCTCATGCTAATCAAGCTCTCTACCACTGAGTGACATCTCCAGCCTGGAACTTTAAGCAAGAAAGAACCATTTACAAGCTGGCAAATATAAAATTGATCTAGGGGGCTGGGAAGGTGGCTCAGTAGAGCACTTGCCTTGAGCTGAAGAGGTGAGGGACAGCGCCCAGGCCCAGAGTTCAGGCCCCATGACCGGACTCCTCCCCCCCAAAAAATCGATCTAAGTTACTACATGATACTTTTGAAAACTTAGGTATAGTGACTAAGAATCTGATACATTTTAAAAGCTTTTCCATATGAAAATTTCAGACTCAGGTTTTAGAAGCAGATAATAGAAAGCTCTCTGTCTCTGTTACTTGGTAAAATATAAATAAGGTTTTCTAAACCAATCTTATTAAACCTAGGACAAGTACAAAAATGCAGTCATAGAGCCGGGGAGCCAAAATTTAGATTCCAAATGATTTCTTCAGTAGTAAAGCACTATCACATTTAGAAATAAAATATTTAATCTTAGTCACATTGTCAAGTGCAGTATTCATGTCTCACACATTGTCAAGTGCAGTATTCATGTCTCACAGGAAGAAGACTTGTTCCGAACTCTTGCGTCCTATAAACTTATTGCACCAAGGTATAGGTGGTACAGAAGCAGATGGGGACGTATGTGTCCAGTAGCTTTAAAGGACGGTATAATTTTTTCAGGATCCTCAGATTTTGCTGTTAGGTAAGTAAGATTTTTCCAGTGCTTCAATTTAAAACATTGCCCAGGCGTGTTTTCAGTTGCTCATTATGACGGTATATTTTAAGCTTTCTAGGTAAAATGTACTGCCTCTCATCAGACGAAACATTGAAAAAATTTTTACTGAACCCACGTCCCTACCTTCTTCCACCTATGCCAACACCACCATGCAAATTGGTTGTATTGGGGCCTCCGTACTCAGGGAAGACAACACTTGCCAATTTGGTTGCAGAACATTACAAAGGAAAGGTATCTATCTGACCTTGATGATAACTTATAAGGTTAAATTTGCACTCCATTTTCTTAATTTTACACTGTCAACTGGGTAATTCATTCTTCCAACAGATTTGGGCCTCCATGTCCAGAAGCTAGAAAATTAGGCTCCCCCTCCTTAAGGAAGGCATTTCAAAGGATTGGTGGATATTTTCTTAACCCTATCTCAAATATGCATATATATCAAAGGAATATTTTAAAATATAAAGCAATAAACCCATATGAACATTAAATCTCAATGAGAAAAACTAGAAACTAGTCAACTTACAACATAATAAGTGTAAATGGTTACTAAACACTAGAAAAAATAAAAAACAACACCAATCTTCCCTGATAAACAGAAAGATACTGAGAAATCAGAACTATGCCATGTCACAATCACTTTTTGATTTAAAAGATTGGGGCTGGGCAGGTGGCTCAGTGGTAGAGTGCTTGCCTTGCCTGCATGAAGCCCTAGGTTCGATTCCTCAGCACCACATAGGCAGAAAAAGCCAGAAGTGGAGCTGTGGCTCAAGTGGTAGTGCACTAGTCTTGAGCTGAAGAACTGAGGGACAGCGCCCAGGCCCAGAGTTCAAGCCCCACGACCAACAAAAAAAAAATTTCTTAAAGATTACTGATAACACTGAACAGTGATGTGCAGCTAAATTGGGAGAAAATACATCCCCATATGCTATTGGTAAGAATATAACTCTTGAGGCATAGCATTGTAAATAAAATTTAGACTTGAACACCCAAGCTTCAACTATCCATCAACTATCCATTTATTTGATAGATTTCCCTAAAAAAAAAGTATATCAACGACAGTTACATAATTAGTCATAATAGTCATTATGGCCTACTTTATACCGACATGTCTTAAAATATGTATATCTAAGTACACATATATCTAAATTCAATACCTAATGGTATTAGTATTTAGTTAAATAGTTTGTAATATATTCATCCAATGTATCTAGTAAAAATGATGATGTAGAGGTGTGTTTATTGTCACAAAGCAATGTAAGCAAGTTGAGGGAAAAGCAGATTGGAATCTAGGATTCTCAAAATAGTAATTTCCTTAAAAGACATATAGGAATCTATTTCTAAGATCTATTTCTAAATTCATTATAAAGTCTATTTCCTACCTCACAAAAATTTATATCCAGGATATGTAAATAATTCCAATTCATTTATACAATTACTTAAAGACAATTTTAAAAAAAAGAATCCCTTGGGACTGGGAAGGTGGCTCAGTGGTAGAGTGCTTGCCTTGCATACATGAGGCCCTGGGTTCGATTCCTCAGCACCACATAAGCAAAAAGAAAAAAGCCGGAAGTGGCACTGTGGCTCAAGTGGTAGAGCGC